ACATGCTATATGATCCAATTGTGTCAAGGCCGCCCCTGATGCTGCTTGGGGTGAGAAAATTGCTACTGCAATTCTCCGAGACTTGTCCCAGGTAGAAACATCATCATCAGAATTTGGACTATATTGTTCAAGGGATCCTTTCCTTTTTGAACCAAGATCATCTCTTTGACAACTTTGTCCATGGTCTGCCTCATGTACTGAGGCAAGGACAGCACAAACATCAGAAGAATTACAATATTTTATAATTACATACAACTATTTTCAAAATCTCTTTTCTACAACTGTGAAAAGTGAAACAAATTGAACACACCATCTACTTATGATTTAATTTTTCTCCAGGTGTGTTTGGTCCTCTGATACCTCTTTAAATTTTCACTCGTGTGTCCATGTGTTTACAATAGATGTTCAATTACTGTTTTGTTCTCATTTCTCACTGCTAGCTAACAAATCATTCGATGCAAAAGAAATGACATGGGCATCTTTACTCTGCCCACAACCTCTTTTGATCCAACTGCACCAAGGCTCTTTTTGATGCCACCTGCTGTGAAAGCAGAACCACTCAGTTTTTCCGAGCCTTTTTTCTTGGTATTAACATTATCATTGTCACAATTTGGATCACTTCATTCATCAGATTTTTTTCTCCTTGCTCTCTTATCAAGGTCATGCTGTGTGTTAACAAAAGATCTTTCAATGCTGCATGGACCACCCTTGATTTTTGCAGGGATAGCAGGCCAAATTCTGTCCCCGCAAATGAAAAACGTTCCCTTCGGTAAAGTGGCTGGATGTTGAAAGGATGGTTTGCTTGTCATTTTGGTATGATTGCCCCAAGATGACGCATTTTTATAAAAAGGCTGATTCGGAGTGACATCTATTGTATGATTATCTGTCTTTCCCACTCCTGATGAATTAAATTTGATGCACCATTTCATTTTTGTTGACCCAAAAATGTCCAAATCCAGAGGTTCAAAGTGAGCCACAGGAAGGAACTGTGTCCAAACATGTCATCCCTCCACAGGGTCTGAAAGAAACTTCAGAACCCCTGGAAGGATGTCCCCTGGGACTGACCATCCCTCCACTGGCACACCTACCAAGTATGTTGAAAATGGTTTCTCTGGTTTCGAATGGGTCAGGCAAATGCTGTCCAGACCAGCTGCTTTTTGCCAAAGTCTCCCACACTTTTTCCCTGGGTTGTCTCATGGGAAAATCTGTCCTGTTGCCCAAGGCAACAGGTGAAAGAATGAAGCACATGAACACTATCTGTCTGAATCCCATGTCCATGTTCCCACCCTCTGTGAGAAACCCTGCAATGCAGCAACACCCAAACAACACTTGATTTCTCAGAAAAAACCCCAAGTCTCTGGGTGATCAATCGTTGTCCGACGAGACGTCTGCAGCGTTGTTGTCTGTCTTCGTCTGCGTGCTTGCTTCTCTGCTTCTCAGGTCCACGTCCACTGGCGTCTGCACCCGATAAGGTTTCATGTGCCTCGCTGGCATTCATTTCAGTCCTCGTCCTGTAGAAACACAAGCGAAACCCTCGCCCCAAGTTATCAATGTAAATGAACCTTCAATCTGTCCTGACTCTGGGTTTCTGATCAAAACGAAAGGATTTTCCCTTAGTTTTTCCTGTGGGCTGTTTGTAACATATCTGACAATTAGTAGAGTGGGCTTTGAGAAAAAACCATTTAAAAAATTCAACACATTTGTTCAACCCTGCCTCCTCCCTTTTCTGTCTATTCAAGTGGATTTCAGGGTGTGATGTGTTCTTTGCTTGCTTGACCTGAGGGAGAATGAGGAATATTGAAAATATGTTTGACTCTGTGTTTTTTCAAAAATTTGTCAAGCACCTTGCCTGTGTAAATTGGACCATTATCTGTTTCTATTTCTTGTTGCACTCCTAATGATGTAAATGCTTATAAAAAATGTTTGCAGGTATGTTCTGTGGTCTCCCCTGTATATAATGATGCAAAAATCGCCTCTGAAAATGTGTCAACTGAGATATAAATGTTTTCGAGTCTTCCAAAAGACACATATTTTCTGGCATCAGTTTGCCACAGCTGAAGGCTTTTACAAACCTTTCAGATCGACCACTCCTGTGAATACAGGAGATTGCACAAACTGGTTCTCTGGCAAGCAGATTTCCTTTGTCTGACTTTCAGAAGGGTGAAAGGTTCCCATCAATGCCTGTGCATTTTTGTGAAAACATGCATGGCTCAATTTTGCCTGCTCAAAAATGTTTGGCAGTGTCTGCAAGATGGGCATTGTGAGTCTATTTACATGAGCATTCCCTTTTACTAAAAACCCCGGAAGTGAAGAATGCACTCTGATGTGTTTATTAATGTTCTCTGTTTTTCTAGGATTATTTTCATGCATAATAGATATGAATATAAAATTTCCTTGTCTGTATGTTTTAAAAGCGATTTCTCTAATTGTTTGACCACATTTGCAACATACACTGAACTTGTGATCAGATTGAGGGTTCCTGAAATAACTGAAAAACCCTGACTATTGTTACCAATTTTTCAACTTGTGGTGAACCTTGTGCTATTTTGATACCTGATTCCCATTTCCCTGTTTTTTTTGATTTTTTCCATGTGACCACTGATTTGTGAGTTTTTTCCCAAACCATCAGTGAATACTGTCATTTCTTCCATTGGTTCTTGGCTTCTTTTTTGTTTTTTCCCTGAAACTCACTTTTACATTTAACATTTTGTGTGTTGGAAAACGAACTGTGCAAACTTCTGAATGCCCTAACAACGTGATTGAAAAATCTTGTGACTTTGGATTGTCCACTCAAAATATTTCTTCTTTAAATGTAAATGAATGATTAAGAAATCTTTCCCTGACATTGTCAGCAATCTGGTCTCTGCCACAATAATGATCTGAGCTCCCATCTCTAAATCTGTAAGAATTGTTTTTGAGGGTCTGCAAACTAAAAAACCCCACTTTCAACTTCTGTGAAAACATTAACAAAATCCTTGCTCAAAGCTACTTATTTGAAAGATTTTTTTTTCTCAATTTTATCTGTCCAGTGTCTAGCACTCTCTTCATATTTTTCTCAATGATCAGCAAAATCAAGTCTACAAAATAATTATTTCAAGAGATTAAAACATACAAAATCTTCAACCTCATTTCAGCCTTATTTCAGGCACTTCTTCACTCCTTTTCTTTTTTCTTTTTCCTTTTTTCTCTCTTTCTCTTCTTCTCTTTTGAAACAAGAAAGTTGAAATGTAAACCATAATATAGAACAAGACAAAATATCTCAATAATAAAATGCATAAAACTTATCAAAATCGATAACAATTCAAGAAAATTCAAAAGAAAGATATTCTAAATAGCATATATAAAAATGAACAAAGCACAATCATTAGAAACATTGTGACAGCAGTTCAGAGTCTGCAAACAGCTGAAACATTTGTTTTCAGTGAAAACCCTTGGCATCCTTTCCCGGGCAAGGCTGGCAAGTTTCACCTCAAAGCTGTGTCAGCTGTAACATTTGTAGAATCAAATTGATGGGTCAAAAATGACCTGCATATCATTCATTTTTGTGCAGAAACCTCTGAATTTTGCTGGCAAACTCATCTGTCCAAGTTAAAACCAGGGTCTGGCCAGGACCCAAACTTTAAACTGGAGAGATGTCCCTTAACATATTATATAAAACAAAACTTATACCAACAATACATATATAATACTTAAAACATAACAACCTATTATAACATTTTCTTATAAAATAAACACTTGAAGTTCAAACCAATAAACTGGTCAAATGACACAAAGATTCATTTTTCTTGAAACTCTTTTGAAGGAAAAGGATGCCAATTGAAGAAATCGTAAGATTAACAATGGCAAGAGGTTGTCAGAATGCTTCAGGCACCTCTCTCTGAGATTTTCTGAAAAACATTTGAGAATGATGAAAAATAGAAATGCAATGACTCCACTCACGAGAGATATAAAAACGAATCAGGAAGTTCACCTAGAAAAATGCACAATACAGTTAAAATCCAAAATGAAACTTCAGAACTGGCATGTAACCTGGATAAGATTACATAAACAACAATAAAACATACGAGAATTCACTATGAAAAAACGAAGCACAAATCTTCACCTGATAACATGATAAAATTTCTTAACAATAACATTTATAGAACACTTAAATAGTTAAAAATAAAGGATTTAAAAACAAACACTCTTTGTATCACTATACAAAGAAATAACAGACTATAAAACTGATTTTTAAACAACGAAATCAATCTCAGAAAACTCAAAATAAATTCCTTTACAACTCTTATATACTGATAAACTTATAATAAAACAGAAAATACTAAAACAAAACCAAGAATCCAATAAATCCAATAACTTCTCCTTAAATCAATGTTCATTATTACTTTGTGAACTGTTTCAGTCAAAACCTTCTCATTCTCAAAGAAAAACAACTAAACCTTGCTGCCAAATAAACTTGACCTTTGAAAAACTTAAAATAATTTTTGAATCAAACAGTACTTAAACTCAATATATAACAATCTTAGTAAAGAATCCCTAAATTATATTAACTTTACGAAATCCATATGTATCAAATTAACAATATATAACTCCATTATCAATTAAACCTTTATAAACTTAACTTCTTCAGGGCCCAAACCTAAAATAAACTTAAAGTGATATACTCTAATTAAACAATACTTAACTTAAACGCAAACCAACTATATAAAAATCAATTCTATCATTAATAAAACGTTAAAATACAACCTAACTTAAACCTTAATATAATAAATTACTAACATTTCATGCTATTTAATTCTCTATATCAATTTTCATTATGATATCTCTTTTTCACATTGTGTTCCACAATTATTACTTATCATCACACCGGCTGGGCGTGTCTGCTCGATCAATTCTGTGACCTAACTGAAAAATCTGGGGTTAGTGTTTAGAAACATTGGGGAGATTAAAAAAAGGCCTTGTGTTGAGTGGTTTTCAAAAAGCGACTGACTGATGGAATTTCATTTCAGGGTGAAAGTTGGGAGTCTCATCCCTCAGCATTGCTGTAGGATATTTGCTGCTTGTAAAAGATTGTTTGCTGTGGCTGTTGTGATTTTTTTTTTGTTTGCCGCTGCTGCTGAAAGGAAATGGGCGGCGCGTCGCTCGCACCTGCTGTGGAGAAGGGTTGATCAAAGGAAATCCCTGCCTTGGCTCTGCTCAGCCCCCATCTGCACCGGCATGAGAGCACTGGGAGCATTTCTGGTGCAGTCAAACCCCGCTTCTGCCTGCGTTAGGATGGCTGCGCCCCTCTCTCTTGCTCACCCTCTCTGTCTGTGTCGCCATGGGAACAAGGGAAGGAACCCCCGCACCGACCGCGCCCGCCTGCACCGGCTCCGCGCGGCCGTCCCTCGGGAACGTCCCCCCCCCCATTCTCTCTGTCAGGCTTGGCCCACACCGGTCTCGCTCTGGGTCGGACCGCGCAGTCCCTCGAGCTGCTGCCGGTCCCAGCGCGATTCGGCGCTCTGCTGACGTCATCAGCGCGCGCTCGCCGCGTTCCGCTCTGCCGCAGCCCCGCGCCGCGTCACGCCCGGCCCCGCGCCGCTCGGGTCTCCCCCCGCGGCCACCGCGCAGTCTGCGGACGGCTGGCTGGCGGCCACCGCCGCCCCCGACGCCGTCTGCGCCCGTGCCCGTGCGTTCGAGATGCAAGAAATCCCCGCTCCGACTTCCGGGTTTGCTCTACCGTCTCGCGCATGCGCGCTGCCATGGCCGTGGCGACAGAAGAGTCCCGCTCTCCGTCCAGCCGTCGGCCTGGCCAGCGCCGCTGCTGCGAACTGGGAGCTATTCCCCGGCACCTGCCGGACGGGGCTTTCGCACTCTCACGAATTCTCGTCATGGAACGCATCACCGGGCGCTCCGGGCGTCTGACCGCCACACCCGTTCTCCCGCCGCCGCCTGCGTCCGCGTGGTTCCCACTGCCCCCCCCTCTCGCCTGCACCGCGAGCTGCTTTGAACTCCCCACCCGCGCAGCTGCGAGAGTTCTCTCCTCTCTCTCACTTTTCCCTCCACTCTACACTCATGTCTGCCCCCTCCCCCCAGGAGCCGCCGGCGCCGCTGCCCCCCCACTGTGGGTTCGGACTCGGGCAGTGGCCAGTCCCTTCCCCCACCGAGGGCTGCGTCTGTGCCTGGCTTGTCTCACTGTCTGGGGATTTTCTGCAGCTGAGGAGCTTAGAAATTGAGATTTGAGGAGTCTTGAGGAACAGTGTGAACCCGGAGACACAGGACATGATGAGACACCATCCCCCCCGATCCTCTTCAGGAGGCAATTTGCTTCCCCTGGTGAGGAAAATTGCCCGAAGCTGCTGGCTGGGCCATCTTCCTCTTTGTGCTCCCATAGGAGCCTTAGCTGTTTAGTCTAAAATGCCGCGTTGTGAAAGTGACTCCTATTGTCCTTGCTGAAGGCAAAAGTTTTTGCGGCAGTCTTATCTTTTTTTTTTTTTCTTTTTCCTGTGGCTCGGTAATACAGTTGCTTATTGATCCCTTGCCAAAAATTTAACTCAAACAAAAGATGTACATCTGTGTACGGGTGATTATACTGAACCCACAATAACAAAGCTTTCATCTCATTTGAGGCTATCTCTACCAGATGGGTAAAAGTCTTGCCCTGTAGGGCTGAAAAAAAAATTTTTTGTCTGTCCTTGGGAGCATCCCTTCCCCATGTTCTTAATTTCAACCATTCTCACCAAAAGCTGAGTCACCACGAGGTCAATCCGGAGATGGCAATGTTCATCGTCCAGCAGGTCACAGGCGAGAAATCCCAGGCGCACTTCTGGTTTTCCTCCTCCTGGCTGGCCTCCAGACGAGCTGTCTTGGTGAAGGTCAGGTTTTTATCTTGAGCTTTCCGCTCCCTCTGTTCTTGGAATTTGCTGAGAGCATTTGTGCTCTGTTCTTCTTCCTTTCTTTATATTTTTGTTTTTCTCTGCTGATGAAGGTTGGAGGTTGTTTGATGTTTCTTCTTGTTCTTCTTGCTGAAGCCCGCGCAGGGATGCCAGTTGTCAGAATCTGTGGGTATTGGTGATTCCGAGATTGTAGAAAGTCTGTGTCTTTCTGCCCCGTTGCCAAAGAAGAAGCCATAGTTCGTCTGTGCTGGTTTCAAGGTTGTTTATTTTTGCTTATCTATAACATGTTCTGCTGCCCTGCCGCAGGTCTGTCCTGCAGGGCAGCGTGCGGGGCTCTGCCCCTCAGTGGGATGGTACAAACATTGTATACCAGAAATTACGTGTACTATATTTACAATAATGTGCCAATATCTATCATCTACGTTGAACAGTGTGTCCCCAGCCTAAACCAATAGAAAAATGCCAACATCACCAAGAACATGGAGGTAAGGAAGAAGAAGGAGGAAGAAAAGGATCAGGCCCACTTTCCTCCATCTTAGAACTCCTGACCCCCCTGTACAAAGTAAAACCCCCCTGTACAGGTGTTAAAACCCCCCTGTACAATACTAAAAAATTTTACCCTCTAATTTGTGACTACTTTTACTACACCATCTAACTCTCTGTGACCGCTTGTTCCACCTTCAAAGTTGGTAATTCATTCCATGGTTCAAACTCAAAATCACAGCTGTTTTCAGCTGCTTGCCAGGGTCTAAAATGCTTCTGACCAAGGCCTGGAACCTCTAAAAATGTCTGAGGGACATTTTGAGTTCCGACAAGTGTCTCTCAGGGCTCTGTATAGGGGGGTTCCTGACCCCCTTGCCAGGGTCCCAGACCTTCCAGGGCAGCCAGAGGGATGCCCTGGATTCCCACATCCAAATTGCTTCTACCAGTGGAGTCCCCCATGCCTCCTTACTGCAACAGCAACTGCAACTGCAGGAGGGATGATTGACTTGGAGAGACAGAAGTTCTGGTTGCCCTCTGTAACAGCCACCTTTGCCATCCTCTTTCTGCCACAAATGTCTGTATACACCTACAGACCTCTCCAAACTATATACCTATGCACCATTGGAGGAGTTCTTTCCTTTAAATAAGTATATACTGCTGGTCCCCAGAGTGCCCTGTGTTATGCAGGTACTGGTCTGTAGCTTGCAATGAGGCAGCATGCAGCTGCACTTTTTGCCTGGTGCCTGCAGTGGGCTGTGTCACATGAAATGAATGCTTGAATTTATGCTGAATGAAACTAATTGGCTAAAGCACTGGAGTCTAGGCAGTGAGAAATGGAAAAGTTGGAATGAACAAAAACCTGTGAGGTGTGTTGGGATACAAAATAAAAAGTGATCATTAAATTGAGACTTGTGGATTTATATACAATATTCATGAGAGGCCACAAACTACTTCTGAAAGAAGTGCAGGGAGAGGAAAGGCTGTTGTTTAATAGTTTGAGATCTGCTAAGTTATTCACACTATAAGAAAGGATTAGCTGCTTTTTTTGAAAACAGTTACAAAAGCATGTTTTATTTGCAGGCTTATGAAGATGGAATTGGATGTCAGTCCTGTGTGAGATGGTCACTAGAGGAGCATCATGCAGCTTCTGCTGTTTCAAGCTTGTCGTGGAATTTTTAATTATCTAATGGTGCAGAATATGGTGGTCTCTTACACAAATTCTGTAACTCAGTATTATTTTGAGTGAGGAAAAAATTTAAATAGATGTTTAATTTGGTTGCTTACTTTTAAGGACTGAAGTATGTGTTCTATAGGGACTATTGTGAAAATGTAACATGCAGTTAGAATTTCTTTTTTTTTGCTATTTCTAACAACTTCCTTCTTAAACTGTAGTGTTTGCTACTAGAAAATAATTTTTAAATTAAAGCAACCTGTTTACAATGAAAATACAAATAATTTGTAGATTGTTAAACACTTGGCAGCTCAGGCAGGTACAACAGAAGCTGGAGCTCACTAGCTCAGATCTTGTAAAGCTTCAGCCATGGCTAGACCTAACTGTGGGAGCATGCCTGTCTTTGCATCTTGGCAACAGCTTTGCGTGCAGTGTTAGTAATGCTCTCACAGCTCCTTCATACTTCTTTCCGTAACTGGAACCTTGACATCTATAAACGTCTCTGCTGGGACTTGTCTTTCCAATTTCTTTGAGAGCTTGGTGGCCTGTTGAGGAAATCGAACTCAGGGTCCTCATAAAACAGTGTCCTAGTTTAGGGCAAATTTGGGGAAAACCCAGGAAATAAACCCCCACGGCCCCTCTCCACCCACCTGGTTCAGGGAAAAATTCCCTCTGAGAGAGAAGTGGAAAAGAACCTGTTTATTCAACAACAAAGCACTCCCCAGCACCAAAACAATTAACAACACAAGATGACAACAAAACTCTTTCACCCCTCTGAAGAGCTGAACAAATCCAGAAGGTCTTTCCTGGGAGTGGTCGCCTGGGTCTGGACGCTGGGGATGGCTGCTGCAGATCTCCAAATGCAGGCTCCTGGTGTTCTTTGGTGTTTCCCAGATCCCAGTCCAGAGCAGGCTGGATGATATTCAGAAAGAGGAAGGGAAAAAAGCAACAGTCCAGGGAAAGAATTGGACTGCTTAACCTAACTAGGAAGCAAAGCAAGAAAGCAAGCAAGCAAGCAAAGCAAGCAAAGCAAAGCCAGCCAGCCAGCCCTAGCCTTTTCTAGCTTTCCAGCAGACATGGGGGAAGGTGAACCAGATGATAACACAGCAAAACAAACCTTCACTTTCAGAGTCAGTTCTGAAAGCACAGAACATAATATCAAACGTAAACAGAACACACGATTGGAGATACAAACACCATAACAGTCACCCTAGGACATTCCACCCCTTATCTCCATATCTTCAACATCATGTAAAAACTCCATCAAGTTAAAACTTGTATCTTTCACTTACTCATACCTTCTTTCTCATGTCTGTGTGTTTTCATGCACAGACATTGACAGTAACATCCAGCAAACAGTGATATTTGCACAATAGTTTCACCCCACAATCAGATCTCCCTGAGGTACACATCGTGTTGTTCCATCTCTCTGCATTATCCACCATGTACAACCTGGTCCCTGAGCAAAGACAATCCCACGAATGGGTTTGTCTGTACTCGAGGCAGGATTGATCCACACTGTTTTGCCTAACAAACCTCTGACATGTGCTACTGGGACTTTATCTCCGTCTACTATATTCAGGGGCTCAGACTGGGCAGGACCTGCTCGATTGGTGGAACCTCGGCTGTTAACTAACCAGGTGGCCTTTGCTAAATGTTGCTCCCAATTTTTGAAAGATCCCCCACCCAATGCTTTTAAGGTGGTTTTTAACAGTCCATTGTACCTCTCCACTTTGCCTGCAGCTGGTGCATGGTAAGGGATGTGGTACACCCACTCAATGCCATGTTCCCTAGCCCAGGTGTTGATAAGGCTGTTCTTGAAATGAGTCCCATTGTCTGACTCAATCCTCTCAGGGGTACCATGCCTCCAAAGGAC